TTTTTTTTTGGTACCGGGGATCAAACTCAGGTCCTTGTGCTTGCAAGGCAGGCGACAGAACCACTGAGCTAAATCTCCAGCCCCTCTTGGAAGACTCATTAAAGCCACTAAGTTCCTGGTAATGTGTTACAGCTGATGCAGGAAACTTATCCCCCTCCCCCACCACTGAAGCTTGAACCCAGGGTCTTCACACTGAGCCATCTCCCAGGCTTGTTTTATTTTTTGTTTTTGTTTTAAGACAAGGTCTCGCTAAGTTTCTAAGTTCCTGGCTGGGATTGAATTTATGATCCTCCTGCCTCAGCCTCCCAGAGTCCTGGGATAACAGATGTGCACCACCATGCCTGGCTCCAGATTCTTGATTCTCAGAAACTGTGTCATAATCAAGCTGGTAACTTTGAGAGTTACTTGTTACACAGCAGTGATAACTGATACAAGTGCTCTACAGTCAGTTTCATTACCAAGCAGGATAAGTCTGCTCATCATTACCACCACCACCACTACAATGGGATTTATTGAACACCTTCTGTGTGCTGAGCACTGGCTTAGAAGAGAGAAGCATCAGAGTGAACAGAAGAGCACACATATTCCCACCTCTGTGGAGCTCCCAGTCTGGTGGAGAAAACAGACCATAAGGGAAGAAAAAAATGCCAAGCATGGTGGTGCACACCTGTGATGCCAGCACTCAGGAGGCTGAGGCAGGAGGATCACTGTGAGTCTGAGTCCAGCCTGGGATACATACTGAGACTTGTTTTCAAAAAACAAAACCCAAAAACAACCACCCCCCCATTACAAAAAAGTGAGAAAAAATATAGGACGTAAAGCCAGGTGTGGTGGCACACGCCTGTAACCCCAGCACTTTGGGAAGCTGAGGCAGGAGGATCACGAGTTCAAGCCCAGCCCAAGCAACTTAACAATTTAGGGAGACCCTGTCTCAAAAATATAAAAAAAAGGGCCAGGGATTTAGCTCAGTGGTTCCATCGCCTGCCTCGCAAGTGGAAGGACCCGAGTTCGATCGCTGGTACCAAAACAAAGAAACAAACAAACAAAAACAAACAAAAATATAAAAAAGGACTGTGTGGATGTAGCTCAGGGCAATGGTCCTGGGTTCAATCACTAGTACTGCCAAAAAAAAAAAAAAGGTGTAAAAGTTGGGTGTGTGCATGTGATAAATACTGCAAAAAATAAAGCTAGCCAACTTCATGTTTCAAGGCCCCTCTGAGAAGGTGACATATGAGCAGATGCCAGAATGGAGTGACGCCTGAGTCTGGGGAAGAATACGGGGCAGCGGGAGTGGGCAGTGCAGAGGCCCTGGTGTTGCTGATGGTTTGTGCAGCCAGGAGGCCCGTGTGGGTGCTGTGAGGGAGGGGAAGAGGGCGTGCGGCCGGGCAGGTGGTTAGGGCTCAGTGGGGACTTTGGACTTTAATCTGGAGGGGAGAGGAAAGGAGACCTTCCTTCTGGGCCCTCAGTTTCCTCTCTGAGCTACAGGCAGGGTGGCTGTGGGACCCAGGGCTCCCGCCTGTGCCTGCCTTGGGACACCCTCTGGGGTCCCTGCATGGTGTTGGGGGGCCCGGGGTGCAGGCTCCCTCTTCCCTCTCCTCTGCCCCCTCCACCCATCAGTGCTCTGGTCCTGGGGAAGCAGAGCAGCTTCCTTCCTGGCCCTGGAGGGGCTCCAGTGGGACGGCCATTGTGTGCTTGGCTTCAAGGTCACGCTGGCCACTTGAGAAAGGGCGTCTGGAGCCAGGGAGGGATGGGGCTGTGTGTGAGGGCCCCAAGACTGACTCAAGGCTGTGGGGGAGGTAGGAGAGGCCGGGTCTTGCCCTCTCTGGCCCAAACCCTGGCTGAGTAACTAGGTGAGTGGCCTCCTGTTTTTGTGCCTGGGGGAGGGGGGTCTCAATCAGTCCCTGCCTCTGGGCCCCTTAACTTCCAAATCACAAAAACCATCCAGACCAGACAGGCATGGTGGCTCAAGCCTGTAATCAGCACTCAGGAGGCTAAGGCAGGAGGATTGCCCTGAGTTCAAGCCCAGCCTGGGCTGCACAGTGAGACTCTTGTCTACAAAACAAATCATCAAGGGGCTGGGGATTTAGCTCAGTGGTTTCGCCGCCTGCTGCACAACTGCAAGGACCCAAGTTCGATCCCCGGTACCAAAAAAAAAAAAAAAATCATCACCCAATCACCTAGACCAATTATTAAAAATCCACCTTCCCTTCCTTGACTGGTTTTCCTTTTTTTTTTTCTTTTTTTTTTTGGCACCGGGGATCAAACTCAGGACCTTGAGTTTATGAGGCGGGGGAGAACCACTGAGCTAAGTCCCTGGCCCCTTCCCGCTCTCTTCCCTGGAGAGGCAGCTTCCTGGGCCAAGGCAGGGGCTGGGGAGGTGGGATTGCAATGGGGATGAAATTCAAGGCCTTTGCACCGAGTACAACCCCAGCCTTTTATTTTTTATTGTTTCATTTTGAGACAGTTTCACTGTCACTAAATTGCTCTAATTTGAGCTCCTCCTGCCTCAGCCTCCTAGAGTGCTGGGATTACAGGCCTGAGCCACCATGCCTACTTAAAGACTTGCATTTTGAATGAGCAGCTGGGGGAGCTGGGAGGGCGGCGGCGAAGTCGAAGGGAGGCTTGAGGCGCTGTCAGAGCAGCTGCGCTCAGCTCCTCCTGCCCTGGAGCTGCAGAACCGGACGCAATCTTCAATCTTCGCGCCGGGATTCCTGCGAAGCCTCCCGCGGGGTCGCGGTGACACGGCGAGACCGACCAGCTCAGGAGGGTTGGCTGAGGCCCTGGAGAAGGAGGCCAGTCAGAAAGCGGCTGCGTCCCCCGCGCTGGGCTCGGGACGTGGAGGCCGGGTTTCCGCCGGCAAGGAAGGCCAAGGCCAAACCCTCAGCGGCAGGCGAGGGCGCCCGACCCGGGCCTCGGGCACAGCGCGCTCTGGAGAAGGGTCAGGCCCCGCCGGAGCCTGAGCGCCCACTCGAGCACCGCCCCCACCGGGCGGCCGTGCAGGGGGGGGTCTTCAGCTTTGTGCCTCAGTTTCCTCACTTGTATAGTGGAGGAACTGGCGGTAACTCCTCCAGGGCTGGTTGCAGGAATTCACTGAAATTGGGCATCAAAAAAAGAAATTGATGCTGAATTCTTTGGGGGAACCGGTAAACTGCTGTGTCTGGATTTTTTGTTTGTTTTTGGATTTTTAAGACAGTGTCACTAGGTAGCCCAGTCTGGCCTCCAACTCACAGCGATCCTCCTGCCTCAGCCTCCCGAGTGCTGGAGTGACAGGTATGCGGCATCACACTGGGCTGCTGCTCTGTGGTTAAGTCACTCTGTCCTGACTGCCAGGCTGGGGCTGGGACAGTGATGAGCCCAGAGACACCCCGGGGATGGGGACTGAGACTGGGGACATTTGAGCCACTGGGCCCTGAGGACACGGAATCCGCTTGACCTAGAAACCTGAGCTGCTGCTCTCTCCCATGCCTGGCCCTGCTCCCGCCTCCTCCCGCCTCCCCAAGCCCTGCCTCACCCCTGGCAGAGGTGAGAAAGGCCCCACCCAGCGAGATCAGTTCTCCCTGCCTTCCTGAATGCCAGAACCCGTGTTATTTGGGGCAGCCACAAACCCAAGAGAAAGACTGCACTTCTCAGGCCCCCTGAAGCCAGGGTGATGATCTGACCTGGCACTGGCCAGTGTAAGTGGGAGGTGTTGCACTGAATTTTGGGGAAACTTCTCTCAAAGTGGCATAGCCCACAAAGTGACTTGGAGAGTTTTGCTTTTTGTCCCCCACTTTTTGTTTTTTGTACCTGGAATGGAACTCAGGGCCTTGTGCTTTTGAGGCAGACGCTGTACCACTGAGCCACATCCCCAGCACCCCCCTTTTTTTGGAAACAAGGTGTCACTATGTAGCCCAGGCTGGCCTTGAAATCAAGATCCTCCTGTTTCAGCCTCCTGTGTGCTAGGAATACAGGTGTGAACCACTGCCTGTGCTCCTTGGCCTCTGTGTACTGTTACTGGGATTGAACCAAGGGCCTTGGCTTTCGTGTACATCCCCAGGCCTTTAGAAAAGTTTTTTTGTTTGTTTGTTTTTTTGGTACCGGGGATTGAACTCGGGTCCTTGTGCTTGCACAGCAGGTGGCGAACCACTGAGCTAAATCCTCGGCCCTAGAAAAGTTTTAAAAAATTTTTTTATTCTTGAGGCAGGGTCTCACTGAATAGAGAAGCTGCCTAGGCTGGGCTCAAAGTTGGAGTCCTCCTGCCTCAGCCTCTGGAGTGCTGGATTACAGGCTTGCGCAGCCACGCCTGGCTACAATCCCAATTTTATACCCTCATTCTGGAGGTCTTCACCGCCCAGCATCCCACTCCAAGGGCCAAACGCAGAAGGGCAGCTCCATCCCCGCCCAAGGCCCCTTCCTCCCCCAGCCTGGACTCTGCCCTGGCTGCTTCTGACCCATGACCCCAGGGCCTCCGCCTCAGGTCAGGCGTCTGGGAGGTGCTGGTGAGGTTTGAAGGGGACACAAGGGGACCCCGGGTAGGCAGGGCATCTTGGATCACATGGTGGGACCAGCTGCTTGGTGCCCTCGGGAGCAGGACCCTCAGATAGAACCTGGGGTGCCACAGGGCACCCCGAGCCCAGGCCACCCAGCCGGAAGCGTGGGCACGGAGACCGGGTGTGCATGCGCCGGGATGGCAGTGGGCGGCGCAGAAGGAGAGGCCACACACACGTGAGCTGACCAAGACGTTTATGCCCGAGTGGCTCTGTAACAGGAGGAAGCAGGGCCCCTGGGCTCTAACTCTAGGTGGAGACAGGCAGCAGGGCCTCAGCGACGTCCTGCTGGAGGCGGGAGTGACAGGAACTGCTCTTCTCTCTGGAGGTCTCAGCAGTGGCCACGCTGCTACTCCAGGGCTGTGGGGAGGATGGGCAAGGGGGCGAAGGGGACAAAGGGGACCTCAGCGAGCTGCAGGCCCAGGGCCCCAGTCCCCCGGCCCTCCTGCTGCCCTGCCCACCCCACAGCCCCACCCGCCCCGCGCTCAGCCTGTGCCAGGTTCAAGGTCAGGAGGGTGGCATTGGTCGTCGTGCGAGGGAGGGAGCTGGATGTGAGAAGAGAGACAGGTGAGAAGGGTTCCCGGCTCTGTGGCACCTGCTGCCAGGGTGGGCAAAGGGATGGGCAGCCACCCCTCTGACAGGGACGAAGACCAGGGGCCTACTACTGAGGCGACCCCAGAAGAGAATGGGCGCTGGGGCGGTGACTGGGTCCCTGATCCTGAAGGGTGCCAGTCTGAGGGTGACAGCACCGTTCCTGACCCAGGCCCAGGACTCCTGAAAGTGCCTAGTCTGATGGTGGAGGCGACTCCAGACCCAGGAAGTGACCTCGTTCCCAGTCTGAGAGCTTCCTGTCCAGTGCACCTGGCTCAGCAGCAGGGCTCCAGGCCTCTGGAAATGCAGTCTGATGGAAGAGACGGGGTCCCTGACTCTGGGGCCCCCAGTCTGATGGAGGAGACAGGGTCCACCTCTGGGACCCCCAGTCTGATGGAGGAGACACAGACCCTGACTCTGGGACCTCCGGTCTGATGGAGGAGACACAAATCCCACACCTAGAAGCCTCTGTCTTAGTGGAGATCATCGCTATCTCATTTGTAGAGATAAACTCCAGTGTCTGATGGCAGGAACGCTGTCCCGTCTGTACCTCCAGGAGAAAAGGTACACATGAGCTCCATTCCCTAGGATCTGAGTGTGAACAGGGATGCACGACTCCCCTTACTCTGTCCAGTCTGATGGGGGAGGGAGGCACCCACCGTTAAACTGTCTCCCGTTGCGGTGGGAGGGTGAGAAGGCCTGAAGCCCCCTCAGTGGCCCCCTCTGATGGAGGAGGCACTCCGCCCCTGGGTGGGTTGTCAGTCTAAGAGGCGAGAGCCTGTGGCTCAGGACCCCAGGTCAGAGGGAGGAGGAGGCCCAGCACCCCCCCCCCCCGCACACTCACGGGCCACCTGCAGCTCGAGCTCCAGCGTGTCGGTCTTGCCCTGCACAGTGACGGTCTTGAGCATGTAGCGGCCAGCATCCGTGAGGTTCAGCTTCTGTACCAGCAGTGAGCAGTTGGCAAAGCCCACCTCCCGGCCCGTGTGCGCCGGGCCCGCGATCCAGTTCCCTGATGGCAGCTGGCTCAGCAGCCGGTTGGGCTCGGAGGCTGGCCCACGGTACCAGGCATAGACCAGCAGGTCCTTGGGGTAGCCCTGGACCGTCAGGGTCACGTCCTGGCCCTCCTCGGGCTTGGTTGGCACTGGCACGATCATCATGGAGATGGCTGCCGCTGGGGAGACAGCAGGGCTGGGTCAGGGGACTGCACAGGCAGGATGGGTCCCCCCCACCTGGCTGGCGCATCTGGGCCTCCGCTGGCTGGCACAGCCTGTGCAGGTGCTGGGGAGGAGTCAGAGGGTGGGGGACACGTGGTGGTGGAGGTGCTGGCTCTATCCCAGCGGAGCCTGCCTGGGATGCGTATCTCCTATCAGACTAGGAATTTCCAGGCTTTGGGCACTGGTGTCTCTGCCATCAAACTGGACATTCTAGAGGACTGGCTCATGTCTCCTCCATCAGATTGGAAATTTCCAAAATACAGGGGCCATATCTCCCCTATCAGATTGGGAATTGCAGAGTATGGGGGGCCATGTTTCCCCCATCGGATGGCTGGGAATTCTCTCTTCTGCCAGATCAAGGGGTCCCAGAATATGGGACTCTTTAACTCCCCGTTAGGGGGACTAGGGCATGTCTCCTCCATCAGACTGGGAAATCGCACATGACTGGGCAGATCTTCTGGGGACCCCACAAATTAGGTGGCAGATCTTTCTCCTCAGATTAGAAATTCCTAGAAACTAGGAGCCTGTACTCCCTAAAGATAGGGCCCTGTCTTCTCCATCAGACTAGGAATTTTCAAAAAACAAGGTCCTGTCTCCTCCAGGCCTCTCTTCCTATAAGAATGGAAACTCTGCTCCTCTGCCTCCCCGCTCTGACTGGAGGCTCACTGAGCCTGAGTGTCCTGCTCCCCACCCCTGCCTGGGGGTCCTGGGGGAGGAAGTGCTGCCTCTTCCTTTTGATTGGCAGCTCCTCCAACGGGGGGGTAGTGCTTCCCTGTGCTCGAGTCTTCTCTCCATGGGCAGGGACCGCGTCTCCTCCATCTGACTGGTGTCTCCCCAGTGGGGAGTGATGGTGTCTCCTTCCTCTCTCTCGCCTGGCACCTGCCACAGGGCTGCTGATGCTTCTGGAGGCCCTCAGGGTTGTATATCCGCTCTCTGTCATGCCTGCACACCTTGGACACTGCCATGTCTGGTCCATACCCTGTTTCCCGCCAAGAATGACCTCCAAAGCCCCAGGCGGGCAGGAGGTCCACTTACCTCAGGGGGCTGCCATTCCTGCTGGGGGTGAAAGAGTATCCACCCTCTGTACAAGACCCACCTGTTAGCATGAGGGAGGAAAGGGGGAAAGGGAGGGGAGGAAGGGGGAGGGGGAGGGGAGGAAGGGGGAGGGGAGGAAGGGGGAGGGGGGAGGGACGGTCCCCACTGTCCCCAGGGGATGAAGGCACTTGGGAAGGAACCAAGGTGGAATTAATGAGGCCTGAATGCTCAAAGCTGTCATCCCCAGGGCATGGACACATCTTCCCTTAGAACCAAGTCTGAAACTGGCTCAGTCTGCACTCAGCCACTAGGTCATTTTAGGACAGAGGCAGGGAGACAAGGCCTCCCCATGGTGTTTTCCTTCCACCACCCATCGGCGGTGACTCTCCAGTTGCCACCTATGCCGCGACCACAGTCTGGTCAGCAGCAAGGAAGCTTGGGAGATGGTGTGGCAGGGATGGGTATGCCCAGCCCCAAGCTGCTGGTGGCCACAGTGGCATCCCCATGAAGGGACATCCGTAACCCCACTCTGCCACCCCAAGTGGGGCTGTGACCCATCCCCACTCTGCCGGCCCTCGGGAAGAGGCTCTGATGGGCCATGTGGTGTCCACGTGACAGGGCATCGGTGCTCTCCTTTGGCACCTGGGTGAAGAGGAGACCACCTAATGGGCCACATGGTCACTTGGCCATCAAAGAGGTCTAGAATTCACCACTTTCCAATCCTCTGTTGGGCACATGGTGGCCTAACTGTCCAGCAGGGCCTCCAGGGGAGAGGTGGTGGGCGGGCAGGGCCTGACTCACCGGAGAGCTTGACCACCACCGAGGCAGAGCCAGACAGCAGTGTCTTGGGGTTCTTAGCAATGCACGTGTATGTGCCCTCCTGGGCGGCCGCCATGCCGCTGATGTTGAGGTGGTCTCGGCCGTTCTCCAGGGCCCGCCCATTGAAGGCCCATACGTACTCAGGCTCCGGGCACGAGCGGGATGTACACCACAGGGTGAGGGACGTGTTGAAGTCAACTTTGATGGTGCAGCCAGTGCGGGTGGTGGAGTCCTGCACGATGGCCACACGCTCCGGGCCGACTACGAGCAGGAGGGAGAGACGGGGACGGTAGAGGGCGGGAGGGGAGGTGGCACCCGATTTCTCTCCACCAGGCCGGCCCATCTCAGCCCCTGGAGGGAAGAGACACTTCGGGCCTGTGGAAACCCACCTTGATCTCTAATTTGCTCTGGGATCTTGAGGATTATTTCCCCTCCGGGGGAAATCTCAGTATTCTGTGAAGAGTGTGTAGGGCCAGCACATTTCAAGGGAGGTTTCAAATCTATGGCTTTATTAAATGAAAGTTCTAAGGGATTTTTCTTCTTTTGGGGGTAGGGGTTGGTTTTTTGAGACTCACAGTGATCCTCCTGCCTCAGCCTCCCAAGTGCTGGTGCCTGCCTGGTGATCTTTATTTTGTTTTGTTTTTTTGGTAACGGGGATTGAACTCGGAACCTTGCACTTTCGAGGCAGGCGCCAGAACCCCTGAGCTAAATCCCCAGCCCAATGTCTGGTGATCTTTTTTCCCCCCTGGCAAACCATTCTAAGAGTCTAGAATTTTAAGGCTTCAAGATGCTTCTAGGTTACAGCATTCTAAAATTCTAGAAAATCTGTGTGGCTAAGTTTCTAGAATAAGATTTTAACATTAGATCCTAAAGTTCTAACCATCTCTCTCTCTCTCTTTTTTTTTTTGGTACTGGGAATCAAACTCGGGGCCTCGCACTTCCAAGGCAGGCGGTGGAACCACTGAGCTAAATCCCCGGCCCTCTAAGCATCTCTTTTACTAGAGTTTCCAGGAGTCTCAGAGTCTTGAAGGCAGAGCTTCTGGAATCTAGAATTCTCTGGTGTCCTAGGGCCCTGGGATTCTGGGTTCTTGGTGTTTCTATATCGTTGCTCTCGTACATCTCAGTGGCTTATTTTCCCAGGATTCCACACAGCACCGGCTGCCCTGGGAACAACTGTGACTGTGAGCTTTGGTTATGCTTTTTGGTTATGTCCCCTCCCAGCTCCCCACTACTCCCTCTCCTGCTCCCTTTCAAAGCCAACCACTCCTGTGTCCTTTCTCTTCGGGGACTGCTTCTGACTGGAGGGCCACTCAGTGTCAAAGGTGATGTCAAAGTTCCACATTTTGTTTTTGTTTTTTGAGACAGGGTCTCACTACGTAGTCCAGGCTGGCCTTGAATTCAAGATCCTCCAGCCTCAGCCTCCCAGATGCTGAGCTTACAGGTGTGGGCCAGCCTGCCTGGCTGGTGTAGATAGGCCAAGGGCATTTAAGAGGGAGCCCCGCTTCCCGATCCCGGCCCGCCTGACTGGCTACATGCCCTCGGGCTTCTTCTCCTGGCCTGTTTCCCTGTCGGCAAGGGTCACCCCGGGTGTGTGGCGGCGCCAGGAGCACTCACAGTACACGGTCAGGTTGAGGGGCTCGCTGCGGCTCACACTGACCGGGTTCCGCACCTCGCACTGATAGGCCCCCGCCTCCTCCCTGCGGACGCTGTGCCGGGTCAGCGTGCGGCCGTCTGGGGACAGGCCGAGGCGGACCGCAACCGGCAGGGCGTCGCCGTTGAAGAACCAGCGGACCTCCGCGGGGCTGGGGCTGCTGCACAGCAGGCGCAGGGTGTCGCGCCGCTCCACGAGCTCCGTGGCGTTGGCCAGGACCGTGGGCTGGGCCAGGGTCTCTGTGGGCGCAGGAGACAGAGGGGGAGGGGGCCGGGCACCACCTGCTCCGAGGCCTCGGTCCCGGAAGGGGCGTGGCCAGATGGGGCGGTGCCCTGCTCTCCCTGCCGGCTGGAGGGGCAGAGATTGGGGTGTGGAGGCTGATGTAATCCTGGAAGCCATCCGGAAGGAGGTGAATATTATTTTCCACCTTTTTTTTTCTGATTTAGTTTTTTTTTTTTTTTTTTCTAGAGGAGGGCTCAGGAGGGAGTTGGGAAGGCCCGGTCAGGGGGCAGGGTGGCAGGGTGTCTCACCATAGACCTGCATGTGTCCGTAGCCCACCTCGGTCTGCAGCTGCCTGTTGAGTGTCTGCAGAATGTAGGTGCCCGAGTGACCGGGCAGGAGGCCCTGGATGTCCAGGCTGCCGTCGGGGCGCACGGCCTCCCGCCCCGTGTGGGCCGGACCGGGGGTCTCGTCGCCCGTGCTTACGATGTAGCTGGCCACCAGGTAGGACAGGCTGAGCGTGGGCCCCGCATACCAGGTGTAGGCCAGCTCTTCCCCAGAGAGCCCGCGGACCAGCAGGGTGACATTGTCCCCCGGGGCCAGCTGGGCGGGCTCGGGGGTGATGGAGATCTCAGCGCCCACACTCAGGACCGCGGCTGAGGAAGAGGAGCTGGGGTTGGCCAGGGCAGGCTCGATCACATACCCGCAGGACAGCAGAGCTGACCGGACTCAGAGGAGGCGTTCCCAGCCCAGGTGCTTGGGACCGAGGTCCGGCAACGCAGGATTCAAACCTGCAGCCTTCTCTCTCCCAACATCTCAGCCACATGACCTTTCTGGTATCTTTTTTTTTTTTAGGTGGTGGGTATTGCACCCAGGGTCTTCACACTGAGCTACATCTCAGCTTTTTTTTATTTTTTGAGACAAGGTCTTGCTGAGTTGCCCAGGCTGGGCTTATATTTGCATTTCTCCTGCCTCAGCCTCCCAGAGTGCTGGGATTACAGGCGTGTGCCACCATGCCTGGCTGAGTCCAGATAACTGTGAGACGTCAGGGTCTCCCCACGCAGGTTCCTGTCCACCCTCCAACCCCACCCCCAGCAGCCATGGGATCCCCTTTCCTCCTCAAAGAACAGATCAGCCCCAAGCCAAGAGCTGGTCAGGGCTGCTGGGGCTGGAAGTGTGCTGCTGCCAGAGCTGGTGGCTGTGGCCCTGGTTACGCAGAAGCACTCACAGGCCTGGCCTGGTTTCCAGTGCTTTCCCCGCTGAAGGAATGTGGCCGGCATTAATGGCTCTGGTCTAGCATGGGCCCTGCCACTTTCTGGCTGTGGGGCCCAGGCTGCTGATGTCACCTTTCTGAGTCCCGGTTTTCTTATCTGTGAGGTGGGGTCACGAGTGGGACCCCCACCGTGGGATGTGGATACACAGCACTGGGAACAGCCGCACAGTGAGTGGTCATCGGTGCTGCTCATGAGGACTACAAAGGACCCATTTCACAGAGAGGTAAACTGAGGCCGAGAAGGGGCAGCAGCTGCCTGGAGCTCCGTCTTCAGGGCAGAGGGGCAACAGGTTAGGACTGGTGATGGCTTCTGTAGCTTACTTATTATGGGGTGGCCACGTGAGGGAGTCCCTAGAGCCACCCTGCACACCTCTCCATTATCTGTGTGCTGCCCTCCCTCCACAGCATGCTGGCTTTCTGGCTCACACCTTCCCTGTCACAGCCTGGGGTCCCTTCCCCTCCCTGAGGCCTGGGGTGCCACCCTCGCTCACCACTGAGGACAAGCCAGCTGCACCCGGTTGGCACCATCTTCTAGCACAGGCTGGGTCTCAGGGACAGGGACACTGGTGTGTGGTGCTTGGAGCTTGGAGGTCCTTCCTGGTTGGTGCCTGGCTCCGTCTGCCACCGGGCCCAGGAGGGTTTGGTGACTTGGAGCTGGGGGAGATCACCTGAATTTGGAAGTATCGAGTCACCAAGCACTGGGGCCCTGGTTGGGCTTCAGGGTGGGTGTGGCGGGCACCGGCCAGGGGCCACGACCTGGTCAGGACTCCTGGGGCAGCTGCCTAACCCTCATTGTGCCAAAGGCCTGGATTTGGTTTGGGAAAAGAAGCAGGTCACGGGGCGGGGGGGGGGGGGGGAGGAGGCCAGGGAGGATTTGAGGGTGGTTGTCCCTGACCACCTGGGCCCTGGCCCCCCGAGCTCGGGGGTCACTAGGGAATTAACCCAGAAGTGGTGGCCTGGCCTTACTCCAGCCTCGGCGATCTAGGCGCCCACCAGGTATTACCACTGTGAGGCAGCCTCCTTCAGGGCCCCGTCTGCATCTGGAGAACCTGAGGCACGAGCAGAGACTCTGACTTGCCGAGTTCAGTCCAGCTCTGTCTCCAAAGGGGCGGACATCTGGACTCTTCTTAGTGGCCTCTTGCGAAGGACCTGGCACCCACATTCTCTTCTCCCCCTTCTTGAGGGCTCGATTCCCTCTCTGCCCATGGGCCTTGGCTGTCTTTTGACCCAAAGCAAAAATTTGAGCCGGGTGTGGTGGTGCACACCTACAGTTCCAGCACTCAAAAGACCATGTATCAAAAAATATTTGTTTTTAAAGGGCTGGGGAGGTAGCTCAGTGTGAAGGCTCTAGGTTCAAACCCCAGTACTGGGGAAGAAAAAGTTCAGGCTGTGGGCAGGCTGCCCTGCTCCCTGCCTCCCTGATCCAGAGCTCAGCATGGAAGCTACGGGCCTCAGTTTCCTTCTCTGGGAGGTGGGAGTAATAACGGCGCACTTCCCCCTGCATCTGTGGACTTTGCACTCCTTCATTCAACAAATCCTGGAGCAAAATATTCTACAGAAAGCTGCACACATGCTGGACATACAGAGCCTTTTGGTCCTCATCATTGTCCCTAAACAACGCAGGCGACAGGGCGTACACAAAGTTGCGTGGCTCAGTGGACTCATCACAGAAAGGTGACTCAGTCTGTGGGAGGAAGTGTCAGGTATCTATGCAAATACTGAGCCTTTTCTTTTTTCTGTTTTTCAGACAGGGTCTCCCTATGCAGGCCAGGCTGGCCTCGGAATCTCTGTGGGGCTCAGCATGCCCAGCCTGAGTCATTCTGAAGAGAAGACTTGAGCACTGAGGAGTATGGCCTCTGGGGCTCCTGCACAGGAGTCTCAGTACACCCCTGAAATCTCAGCATGGGGGAGGCAGGAGGATCCACATTCCAGCCCAGAATGACTCAGCAAGACTCTGCCTCAGAATAAAAAAAGACTAGGGATGTAGCTCAGTCAGAGGTCCTCGGTTCAATCCCTGGCACCACAAAACAAAAGCCAAGCTGAGTAACTGCTCAGCTTGTCACTCACCTAACAGACATTTAATGATCACCTGCTATGTGCCAGCCCCAGCCTGGGTGCTGGGGAGAACCGGGGCAAGATGGATGAAAAGAATCCCTGCCAGGTGGAGGCAAAAGGGCCCTGGCATTCATGGAATCAACAAGGAAAAGGTGAAATCTATTCTGTTTGCCTCCTACATTGGGGTGTGGAGGAGGTGGAGGGCCTAGGAAGGCATCTTTGAGAAGGTGAAGGGGTTTGAGGCCTCAGGGCCTCCTGACAATTGTGTTATTATTTCCTGTGTCTTTCTGTTCTGTTTTTTTTTTTTTTTTTGGTACCGGGAATTGAACTCGGTCCTTGCGGTTGCACAGCAGGCAGAGAAACCACTGAGCTAAATCCCCGGCCCTACTGTTCTGTTTTTTGAGACAGGCTCTCACTGTGTAGCCAAGGCGGGCCTTGAACTCGTGGTGATCCTCCTGCTTTAGCCTCCCGAGTCTCGAGGGCTACAGGTGCCGGTTCTCTGAGGCCCGGCAGCCTGGTGGGGATGGGCCGTCCCTGCACTCCCCTGTCCCCTGCCTCCCTGTACCTGGTGAGTCCCAGGCTGCCCTCAGGGCAGGGCTCTGCTGCGTGGGGCTGTTCAGGTGCCCGCTGTCCCGTCCCCCCCCCCCCCAGACCTCACCTCACCCTGCTCTGTCCTGGATCCGCTGTCAACAAGGCCCGGGACAGCATCCTGATGTCACGTTGGTGTCTCAGTGTCTCTCTGAGCTTCTCTCTCACCTGCCCCAAACTGACCTCAGCGTCTTCCCAGGTGAGCCCTGGTCCTCTTCCGGGGGCGGGGCCACCCCATCGCTGGGACCAGGACGTGGACTTATCAGCCCAAGCACCCTCACACCCACACTGCTGCTTCTGCCATTTTTCCCTCCAGCCCTCCCGGTGGAACCCAGGGCCTTTCGTACTGAGCTACATCCTCAGACCTTTTTCTTTTTATTTTGAGACAGGGTCTTGCTTAGTTGCCCAGGCTGTACTTGAACTTTTGATCCTTCTGCCTCAGCCTCCTGAGTAGTTGGCATGTCAAGTGTGTATCATTCTTTCTGTGTGTAAGTCACCCGCTTGCTGTGTAGCCCAGGCTGGCCTTGAACTCACAGCCATCCTCCTGCCTCAGCCTCCCAAGTGCTGGGATAACAGGTGTGCACCACTACACCCAACTAGCGACTGCCTCTTAAACATGTCTTTGTGCACCCCTACCCTGGCCTCTACCTGTTCAGGGAGCTCCCCCATTACCCCACCCCTGCCCCCCCGCTCCCCTGGTCTGTTCATATGGCACAAAGGGTCTTCCTGAAACCTAAGCCTGGCTCTGCCCACCCTGCTCAGAGCCTGCCTTGATGCCCTGGGTGCTCAGGAGAAGATGACCGCAGTCTGCTCCCCCAGCTCTGGTTCCCATTTTCCTCCTCCAGGAAACCCTCGGGGGCTGCCCCAGCTCTCCTTATCCCAGGCTGGCCGCCCTGTGCTCTCCCTGGGATAGGTCTGTCCTGGGCCCCCGTCTGTGACCCCCGAGAGGGCAGGGCCAGGCTATGGCCACTGTGTCCCCACCGCCCTTCGGCTCAGGGTGTTTGTGGAACCCGACACCAGGGAGCCTGCAGCAGGTGGAGTCCCAGGGGAGGCCGGGTTTCTGGTGACGTCCGGCCAAGCAGCTCACAGGCTGGGCTGAGAGAGGCTTGGAGCAGAGCCAGGCTTTGTCCCCCAGGCATCACATGCCTGGCCGGCAGTGCCTCCCACTGCGGCTCCCCAGGCCGGGTCTTTGGTCCAGGTGGGAGGAACAGTTTCTGAAATCTGTTTGGTTTTTTTTTCCAGTACTGGTGACTGAACAACCCAGGACCTTTGCACTGAGCTACATCCTCAGCCCTTTTAAATTTTATTATTTTGGGCCGGGGATGTAGCTCAGTGGTTCCGGTGCCTGCCGCGCAAGCACAAGGACCCAAGTTCGACCCCTGGTACCAAAAACAAAACAAAACAAAAAACAACAACAAAACAAACAAAAAATAAATAAATTTTATTATTTTGAGACAAGAAGGGCTACGTAGCCCAGGCTGGTCTCAAACTCATGGCAATCCTCCCACCTCAGGCTCCCAGTGCTGGTATCGCACATGTGCGCTGACTCATTTATTGAGCCCTCCTGTGTGCCGGCTCTGTTCCGGGTGCTGGGGTTCCAGCCTTGGACAGGAGAGAGCCAGGGCCGATCTTTTGGCTGGGGAGATGTGAGGAGGCTGATAGACACAGTGGGTGACAGTACATCGGGCAGAGAGGATGCTGTGGAGAAACAGTGCAGGGAGAGTGCTGGAGGTGACTGGCACAGACACAGTAGCAGGAAGCTGGGAGAATTGTTCAGCGCAGGAGGCCACACTGGAGTAGCCCCTCAGTGAGAGGCAAATCTGGGGAAAGAGCCATACAGGCTGGGGGAACAGTAGGTGCAAAAGCCCTGGGGCAGGAGTGTCTGGGGAAAAGTGAGGAAGAGGGAAGGTGTGGTGAGTGAGGCTGGACTTGAGTAGTGAGGGTTGAGACCGTATTGAAGGGATCCTGCAGGGCCTCACAGGTCACCCAGAGGACTCTGGCTATTTTTACTCTGAGATGGGAGCCCCTGGGAGGTTTCTGAAGAGAGGACAGATGTGAATCAACTTGGATCTTTTATTTATTCATTTATTTATTTTTGAGAAAAGGCCTCACTATTGTAGCCCAGGCTGTCCTCGAACTCACAGAGATCCTCCTGCCTCAGCTTCCCTAATGCTGGGATTGCAGGCATGTACCACCATGCCCAGGTCCTGACTGTGGTCTTAATCGGGTCTGGCTGCCTTGGAGAGGCTGCTGGAGCCGGGAAGGGGCAGCTGTGATTGGCCGGCCATCCTGTCCCCTACGGTTGCCACCAGCCTATAGCTTTTCCAAACCCAGATCAGCTGTGAGTGCAGAATGCACACCCAATATTGAAAACTTATGCATCCAAAACGAGGTGAAATAGCTCATTCTGGTATTGATTTCATGTTGAAATGCTAGCATTTTGCACGCATTGAGTTAAATCGATTCATTTCACCTGTTTCTTTTTACTTTTTCCTCATGTGACGCCAGAAAGTTGAAAATTGTGCACAGGGCTCACATGGTATTTCCGCTGGTGGCGCTGGGTCAGGGAAGGGATAGGGGTGTAGATATAGTTCACTGATATCAACCTTTCCTTTTGCTTTCATTCTCTCTTTCTTTTGTCTGAAATGGAGTCTCGCTAAGTTGCCCAGGCTGGGCTCGAACTTATGGTCCTCCTGCCTCAGCCTTCTGAGTATCTGGGATTATGTGTGTGTGCCACTGTGCCAGCCCATGACTTTTTGGGATACTGAGGGTCAAAGCCAGGGCCTTCGTACTGAGCTGCATCCCCAGGCCTTTCTTATTTTTGAGAAAGGGTCTGCTAAGTCACTAAGTTGCTCCTGCTGGACTGGAGCTTGTGATCCTCCTGCCTCAGCCTCCCAGAGCTCTGGGAGCACAAGTGTGTGCCACCCCACCGGGACCTGTGACTTTTTTTTTTTGTACTTTCTTGGCTTTTCCTGCCACTGGATCCAGCTCCCCCTTCCCTGGCTCACTTTGCTGGTGAGGTAACCGAGGCTCTACACCACCTGGCGAAGTCACAGCCTTGCCTTCTCCACACGGCCATCTAGGGATGCGGTGGCCCTGTGCCCTTGCTTTGAGTGACCTCGTTTTCTTCTATCTCCTCCATCCCCAGGTCTCTTATCTCCCAGCCGAATCACTGCCTCCCTGGGGAACCCAAGGCCACTGTCCCTGCTGTCCCTCCCTCTCTCCCTCTGTGCCACCTGCCCACCCAGCAAGTGCCAGCTGGCTCTGAGGATGTGGGCTTCGCAGGACCTCGTCCATCCTGCCCTACAGGGCAGCGGGGCTGAGGGCTCGGTGCTGTCGCAGCTTCTGGCCCCAGGTCCCCTCCCTTTGCACAGAGGTGGCATTGGTGGCCATATTTGCCGTGCGTGTGGCTGCCGGGCCACCTGGCAGATCCGGGTGGGTCTGGCTGGGCTGGGACAGACAGGACCCCGTGCCCCCCAGTCCTCACCCTGGAAAGAGCAGAGGGTGCGGGCAGGGGGTGAGCTTAGCCCAGTCCCCACCTGAACGTCCTTAGCCCGGGGCTTTCCAAGTCTTTCGATTGTTCAACAAATATTTATTGAGCCCTGATTCCTTGCCAAGCTGTGTTGGAGACACAGACCACAGAGGTATTGCTTCCCCTGTGGGCTGGGTCCTTTGGGAGGGAGACAGGCAGCAATAAAACAGTGAGATAGCAGCCAGGTCAAGCAGAGATAAGCAACGGCTGCTCCTTCAGGGAGGAGGTCAGGGCCTTGCTGGAGGGGGGAGCTGGGGCTGAGGGTGGTGACAGGATGCCTCTGGCTGGATCTGTGGGGCAGAGGGGACTTGGGAGAAGGCAGCACAGCACGTGCCAAGGCCCCGAGGCAGGAGGTCTTTGGGGAGTTCAAGGGAGGTGGGGAGAGCAGGAGGAGGTGGTCACCGAGGTACCAGGTCTCTGAATGGAAGATGCCCCCATAGCAGGTCTCACTATGTAGCTCAGGCTGGCCTCGAACTCACAGCGATCCTCCTGCCTCAGACTGCAGAGTGCTGGGATTACAGGCGTGGGTCACCATGCCCAGCTCCTGGCAGCCCCTTGACCTTGGTCCGAGCGGTGGGAAGGCCCAGCCTGGGGACCCAGGGGAAGGTCCAGGCTTGGGCTGAGGGGCCCCAGGGGACTGGGCTGTTCCATAAGGTATGGGGGACAGGAAGTGAAGGGCAGTGTGGGGGTGTGGAGGCAACAGACAGCCAGGGTCTCTAGGGACCGAAAGGCCCTGGGATGGGACCTGGCTAGCTGGCACCCCTGGGTACAGTCACACCTGGAGTAAGTTACCCTTGGGGTACAGTCGTCCCTGCGTGGCCAGAGGGCATTGGTCGGGGACCCCTCAGACGCTGATATCCCCAGATGTTCTAGGCCTTCGTATAAATGGGGACTGCGCAGATCCGTGGTCGCCCCCCCTTACACTTTAGCATTCCTAGGTGACTGATGATACCTAATACAAGCACTTGCTGTGTCCACAGTTGTTACGCTGTGTTGTTCAGGGAACAATGTCTCTGCATGTTCAGCACAGGCCCGACCTTTTTTGCCAAATATTTCTGACCCCTGCTTGGTCCAGTGGATGAGGTATTTGGAAAGCAAATTCCAGCCACTGCACATTTTTCATCCGTAGCGATATTTCCGACTGTATCTCTAAAAGACCTGGACTCGTTTTGCAAGGCACATTTGGGTCAGGCACAGTGGTGCACGCCTATAATAGCAGCTACTTGGGAGGCTGAGGCATGAGGGTCATGAGTTTCAGGCCAGCTTGGGCAACATAGTGAGACCCTGTCTCAAAAAATATCGAGAACGGCTGGTGGTGTAGCTCAGTGGTAGAGTGCTCGCCTAGCATGTATAAGGCCCTGGGTTCCATTCCCAGTACTAAAGAAACAAAGAAAGAACCAAACACACTCACAAAACCATTATTTCATGAAAAAAGTAAAAATAAAGCCAATACTTCCTTAATGTCGTCCAATGCCCAGTCAGTGCTTGGATTTCTGGTTGCCTCAGAAATGGCAGGGTTTCTTTCTCTCTCTCTCTCTCTCTCTCCCTTCCTTCCTTCCTTTGTTTTTTTGAGACAAAATTTCACTATGGAGGCCAGGCTGGCCTCTAACTCGTGGTGATCCTCCTGCCTCAGCTTCCCGAGTGCTGGGATTACAGGCGTGCACCTTCATGCCTGGTTTAATTTTCTTCTTCCCTTTAGTTCACACACGACCCAGGGGCTCCACTGCGACCCTCCCAAGGCCCCCTCCAGCTGGAGACGCGGTGCCAGCTCACCCACACCACCACTGCGCCGCTCGAGGGCTGCAAACAACACCCCGGAGGGTGGGGGTGGGGGCCGTAGAGCTTGCACAAGCCCTTTGGCACACAGAGGCGCGGGATCCGAAAGGGAAGGGTTTTCCCCAGTGAGCCGTAATGACTCTGGGTCCCCCCCACCCGGCCTCTTCCTCCCCACCACTTCCTCATTTTCCAGCTCGGAGCCACAGCTCCGAGAACCCAGAACCCGGGAGGGAGCCCTGAGACGCTGGTGGTGCTCCGGGGCGGGCACGCAGGAAGCAGGGGCCCCTGTGGGCAGATTTTGGGGGGACACAGCCTGGGGTCCAGGACGCCATTCCGGCCCGGGACACTGGTCTCCTGCTGACTGGGCCCAGTGCAGACGCAGAGCCTGAAATCCCCCTCCGGACCCATGTGGGCCAGCGCTGGCCTCCCCGTGTCCCACTGCAGAGGGCAGACCCCCGTGTGTCCCCTCACGGGTGCACCGCAACATCTGAGCGGAGTGAACAAGATAAAAGTCTGGGTCCTGTTCCCAGCTCTTCCATTGAGACCCTGTGCGACCTCACCTTCCTTTCTCGAGACAAGGTCTTGCTATGTAGCTGGGCTTGAACCCAGGGTCCTCCTGCCGCAGCCTCCCCAAATGCTGGGGTTACAGATGTTCACCACCCCTCAACTCATGACGTCGTCACCTTTCTCTGCCTCGGCTGTCTCATCTGTCAAATGGTGTCACTCACCGTGCTTCCCTCACAGAGCTATTGTGAGCCTACAGTCAGCTGCTGAATATGAAGCACCCGGCTCAGAGCACAGTGGGAACCTGCGTTTCTCCCATTCTTCTCATTACATGGGGTGTCACGTTGTCCCCACCGCCCAGGCCATGAGCTCTCCAAGGAGGGCTGCTCTGGTCTGTCTTCACGTCTCTGGTCCTCAGGTTCATGTAACAGAGCTTGGTGTGCAGTAGCTGCTGAATTAAAGCTGCCA